TTCTTATGTTTTACATTCAACTCATTAAAAATCAGTGAAAACACCCAAAAAATCTTTTCAGTGAAAATGAATTCCAGCTAAAATAAAGTCTTTCACAGTAATACTAGCCCATGATGTCACTCATAACAATCAGCTATGCAAACAATTGATATCAGGTGATGATATTACTGTAGAATACTTTATTTTCGCTTGGAATTTATTTTCGCTGAAGGGATGATTCCGTGAAAATAACATCCAGCGAATACACTCTTTTTCCTATATTTCACATTAAAGTCATCAAAAATCAGTGAAAATAAATTCCATACAAAACACCTAAAAATTAATTTCAGCGAAAATAAAGTATTCCACAGTATACCTTTTTGATGAGCTCATTAGCATATTTAATATCTATGTGTATGTTTCCCAATTGTAGCTTTCAGTTTTATTAGTGTGCTTCATTTCCAATGTTCCCCTTGCCTCCAATATCTTTATTACCCGTAGCTAAATTTGATCCACTCTCATCTCCAATACCTTACAGTTCTTTCTGAGCTTATTTTAATTCGGTCTTTGCCTTCAATACCATCAGCAAGTGGGAGTTCTTTCTAGGCTTTCTTTTATGTAATCTTTGTCTCCATTACCTTCAACATATGGGAGTTCTTTTTTAGCTTTCTTGGATTCAGTCCTTAATGTCTTCAATACCATCAGCACAAAGAGTTTTTTCTAAGCTCTCATTGTTTCTTTACAGGTGATACATAATAAAGTTCGAGAACTTGACTTAAGCGAATGTGACATCACAGATGACGGACTTCGAATTCTTGCTTTATGTAAACAGTTGAGAAAAATTGATTTGAATGCTGCCAAGGAAGATAGGACTACCATCACATCAGTTGGTAAGAATTACTGGTAAACAGGAAATGGATTGTCCTTGTCAGATGATTTTAGCACATGGGATTATTTTCCACATGCATTTTCTATACTTTCCATAAAAAAAGGTCTTATGAATTGCTATTTATTCATATGAATAAAGACCATTCACACTGGAAATAGCGTGTGGTATTACTTAATGATTTTTATATCAATACTGTGTCTCACAATATCAAATGTTAATTTCTGTATAATTATTTATGCATGAAATATTTACAGTGAAAACTGATCTCAAAGCGAGAGGGTCGTCACCTGCGCACACACAGGAATTGAGTACCAAGCGACGATAACAACACACGCTAAAAACGCAAAGACTCATGGGTAAACGCTTGTTTGTAAACAATGAAACTTTATGGCTATCTGACGCATGCGCAGGTGACAACTCCCCCCGCTTTAAAAGCAGAAACAATTATAGAAAGAATAAAAAACTCTGTAATGCTTAATTTTTGTTAGTAATTTTTACAATTTAAGAATTTTATGACGTTCATGAAGACAACATTTTGTGTCACTGACACCTGATGTCATAGCATTCCTGAAATACTGTCTGCTACAAAAATAAAACCAATTATAGAAAGAATAAAAGTATACTGTAATGCTTAATTTTCGCTGCTAGGATTTTTTACGATTTAAGGATTTTATGGCATTCACAAAAGCGACATTTTGCAAAAGTTATTGATACTTACCCCTGAGATTTTTTTTTTCATTTTATAATTTTCACTGACTCATGAGAACAGTAATTAAAAATACACAAAAACTTTTTGTGAACGGTGACAAAAGTTTACTTTGGCACTCAATAATTAATGTCCGTATCATTATGGTCTGGTTTTTGAAATAGTTTGGTGTGCCATGTGCCATGTACCATGTATGCTTTTAACACTAAAAGTACTCAAAGTCAGTTTTGATCAAGACTTGTAGCCTATTAAAAAAAATATATTCATTTAGACCAAAATTATCAAAATTAAATATGAAAAATACATAAAAATAAACAAGATGTGACACCAAAAATAAAAAAAAAAAAGTGTCCAAAGGGTTAAAGATAACAAAATGTTGAGAATGTGTAAATCTGAATATTACTCGTATTTTTTGTAGGAGTACAATACCTGGCTATGTCATGTCCTATACTGCACACTGTGTATCTCAGACGATGCCGAAATATTACAGACGACGCTATCATCACGATATCACAACACTGTCGTCAACTCATGCAGCTGAACATTGGCGGATGCCAGCAGTTGACAGACACTTCGTTGATGGCTTTGGGTCAAAACTGCCGAATGCTGAAATGTGTTAATTTCAACCAAACAAGGGTGAGTTCACTGTATAACTATTTTGATTGCACCAGAGACAATTTGTAATATATTTCTGAGGTTGGGTATGGTAAAATTGATTTGAAAATTTGTCGCAATGGTTGATGGATGATGAACATATGGTAGACATACTGTATTTGGT